CGTGTGTAACCAAAAATCAAGGACTTTGCCGGATGAATATCCGGAGATCCAGGATGCGGATGAATTTCTTTCCACGTGGGTTTACATTTTCATATATTTCTTAACATTTCATACATTCTTAACAATCGTCGAATGATTCGTCTTCAAGGGCCAAGTTGTGACTGTGACTTTGAAATGGTTACCGGATATTTTATTGGAAACTTTTAGCACACATTGTTACGGGAGCATTTATACATATTCATTGCATTACAGTTTTAACATTGGTCTAATATAAATGAAATTCGATGAAATTCGTCCAAATTTGATGAAGATGAGGAAGTGCGAGCACTCGCGCTCTACTTCAGGTCCCAGGACTATATATGGCCTTGGTCCCAGGGCGTATCGGTTCCTATCCTACAAAAACGGTACGTCCTTCCCATCCTCGAACTCTGCGGAGGAAGATGGAAAAAATACAGATGCGACCTGGCTTTCATGACGCTATCTTGGCTCTCATAAAAGAGAAGTTCGCCGGAGCAAGTGCCAAGGACAAGCTGTGCATCATTTCGTTCGACGAAATGCAGCTGAAACCAAGGTTGGCCTACCAGCGGGGTGATGACGTCATCGAGGGCTTCACTGATCATGGCTCTCTCTGCCGCGCCAATGCCTGCGCCGACCACGCCTTGGTCATGATGGTGCGGGGCGTCAGTGTCACCAAACGCTGGAAACAGCCCATTCTTTCTGAGTTCCGGAACGACCAAGGCCGTTGTGCAGCAGCAGCTGTTAACACAGTGTGTCCAACGTGTAACAACAGCGGGATTCACTGTGCTAGCTACAACTTGTGACATGTCAAAGAACAACCAGGCGACCTACAGACTGCTCGGAGCTGCGGAAACCGGCTTGTTCACCGTGGACGGGCACGAGGTTGCTGCTCTGTATGACGTGCCTCACATCTTCAAATGCATACGAAATGCATTAATGAAATACGATATTGAAGTAGACGGTGAAGTAGCCTTTTGGAGTCATTTAGAAACACTACGCACTGGAATGCGCTTCTTCCCCACGGGCTGCTCCAAAACTAAGCCAGAAACACATCAGGCCAAATAGCTTTGAAAAATGAACGTCAGCTATGCCCTACAGGTGATGAGCCGGACAGTAGCAGCAGCAATCACATTGCATGCGACCCACGGTAAGCTCCCGCGCACTGCACTCCCGACTGCAACTCTCCTGCTGCGCCTCAACGACCTGCTCGATGTGCTAAACGCTTCCGCCCGGTTCGACCCCTACTCAAAGCGACGCGCGATATCCAGCCTCCATCCAGCAACGGCGGGAGAACACATGCAGTTTCTTCAGGAGAGCGACGCCTGGCTGCAGCGGTGGACGGTCGGTGGCGGCGCCAGCATCGACTCCATTCGAGGACTGCGACAAACGATAAAGGGCGTGGTGAAAATCTGGGACTTGTGTCAGGCTGCTCGGTGCACGTTCCTGTGCACTCGCCGCTTAAACCAAGATCCAAGCTACCTACTGAAAATGAAAGAGTGTATCTCGGCAAAAATATATATTAGGCACATACACGGTGCCTGTGTACCTACTTAAAATGAAGAAACATTATGACAACGTTTGAAAACGTTTAACACAACCCCTCCTAAATGCATTTATGAAACATGAGTGGGCCAATAAAGGCAACTAGTTTTAACTGTAACAAAAAGCACTTCTGGGCACGTAAATGGGGTGAATGTGGTAAAATGTGGTAAAATTCACCAACCCATATCGCCTCTACCGGAAACCCGTTTTAACCCCCGAAGGACATTGGCAATAGAGCAGGATCGTTCATGTTTATCAAAACAGCCGGCAACTTTCTATCGCAGGGAAAGGTTGGCTAGGACGAGAGTCATTGCTTTCACTGACTATGACAAACCTACTCGAACGGATTTTCACCTAGGAAGTTACCAAACGAATGTTGAAAAATACATCAGCACCATGAAAAAAACCTTACCCACCATCCTCAGCAACGCCGCCTCCCGCCGGCGTCCACCGGAAAAGGGCGGCAAACGAGCGAAGTTTAAATTGTCAGAAGTGATTCCAGACAGCAACACCTGGATTAGAATAAAATGCGCCTTCTCATATTGCCCCGGTACCCCGTTATGCCCCACCTTCCCCTATTAGTTATAGGTCTGGCAACTATACTTTCATCCTCGTAAAGGAAGTAACCACAGCGAATCCGCACGACTAAATCATCAGGTCGCCAAAAACTCGGCAGTTACAGGAAATCTCGATCTTGTCCATTCCATGTCGTAGACTATATATTCCGTGCTAAAACATTTCCATCGCTTTTATGTTACCGATTTCAAACATTTCATAAGGAAAATCATTTGTATCAGCATTCTGGCAACCTAATACGGCAATCATTGTGAAGGCAAAACGTAATCAGCGACCTCGTATATTTTAACTTAGCCGTCGTGACTTCAATGCATTCATAAACGACAAAACTACCCTTTACACCAAAGAAACCCACCTCAACTGAAGGCTGGCGTTATGTTGCCTTGCCTAATATGAGGAGAATGCTCTAACTTTTAGCGATGTCCAACGTTCGACCAAATGCATACCTACATGGAAACTCATGGCCAGTGTTGGTCACGGTACCACTTCAAGCACCACCAAATTAGTGGTGTTTCCTTGAGGATTTATTTTGGCATACAGCCCATGAGAAGAATCAGATATTGTTACAAGCATGTGACAACGACCTTTAATCTGTAGTCAGTCTCATTCCAAGTTATCTCAACCTGCTCTTCATGTTTGCAGTGATGCAACTCTGCAACACATCAATCTAAGAACCCAGTGCAGAGAACGGGAAACAGTCATCTCGCTCAAAACCCGAACTGGAAACCAGTTTCATCTCTGGCCTGCGATAAGACCAAAACTGGTCTTGCAACTGTGAAGGTCCCGGTGAGGGATTAGTCTGCAGCTATTTTATAGACCATGATGGCCCTGATTGATCGTCGATAAGTCAGTAAATCACAAGTAGCTGTTTTTGGCTCTAAAACTATTTTGAGGCGAATCAACTTGCGGAGCATTACTATCTTTGATGCTGTGATACCCGTCAAAAGTACATTGGTGAGTCTAGGCGTGACAATAGACAGTTGTTTCACCTGGAGCAGTCATATTGACAGCGTCGTAGGCCGATGTATAGGCATGTTAATCCGCCTAAGTCACCTTCGTCATGTGTTACCTCCCAAAACCATCGTATTATTGATAAATGCTCTAGTTCTTCCTCATCTTCGCTTCTGTGTGTCTCTTTGGGGCACATGTGGTCTGGCTCAGAGGAAGAGAATATCAAAAATTGTCAAATTTGCGCGGCGCATCGCAGGTAGAGAACATCAAAATATTGCATGGCGCGGTGACCTCGAGTTGGAATGCAACATTGCTGTCCTCACCGTTGTTCGCCAGTGCCTACTCTATCCAGAAACCATGTCGCCGTTACTTTCATCCCTCTTTAGGACCAGGAAATCGGAACGTAATACGAGACAGGCTTGTAACCTTGATCTTATTGCTCCTAAAACTGACTTCTTAAAACGCTCCTTATCATACCAGGGTTCAAAATTGTGGAACAGTTTGCCGACACAGATAATAAGTGCATCTAAAAAGGAATTGATTAAATATCTTCAAACAAAGGAGCACACAGTTTAATTGTCATACATGGGACACATGGTTATTTATATCTTCGCGTATGGATTGCCTCACACTGCGCCGAATATTGTGTTAGTCGATTAAGTGTTCATATATGAATATGTGTAAAATTGTATGCATGTGTGCGTCTGTTTGTGCTATGCCACCGTAATGCCCACTGTTTTGTGGTTGGTGGATGTTTGACATAATAATAATAATAATAAAATGTGGGATTTCGTGGCCGTGGGAACTATAATTAAAGGCAAGAAGGGCTTGGACGAGATGGAAGCAAGTAGCTATGGACGATATCGAATGTTTCCTGATTTCCCTTGACGGCCCAGTCAATGAACTCGGTGGGCTTATCTACGATGTGGTATTTTTTATGAACCAAAAAGAAAGCTCTTTCTAGAAGCAATTATATTTTGCCGCTCCAGCAGTTTCAGTTAATAAAATTGGTAGACCATAGATGCACAGCGCACCGATCTTCCTGTTCCCCTTTTCAAAAATGTGTGCACTAACTTCGTGGTTCCGAACTTATTGGCACTTTATCAACCCAATTATCCCTCTCTCACCTGAAGAATTTGGATAATAATACCTTCCAAGGCCAAAGGCGGCCAATGCTGAAATATTAACCACCAAAAATATTAACTCAAAAGTTTATTTTTACAAATTCGCAACCACAAAAAAACTCACGGCACCCTCAAGCCCCCGCCTAGCACCCACACTAACCTCCATTTTGACGATCTGCGCCGTCATACCGCAGTCGAGGTTGACGAACACGGCGCAGTCTCCGGTGCCAGAGTCGCTGACGTCGTCACAGACGATGTAGGAACGAGCGTACAGCCGCGTGTGGATGCCGTGGTTGACCATGTTGATGTTGGCGTAGCCCATCTGCGGGACAGAAGACGGGGAAGGGTTAGAGGGATTGTCATGATGGCAAAATACGTACCAGAGTTAGGACGTTAGGTGGATCATAGTGGCAAAATATGTAAAGGGTTTGTAATAGATAGGGACGAAAAGGAGCCCGCCAATTATGGACTTACAGGCCTGTGATTGGTCGATTGGAGCATGCTTCGTTTAGGGACTTTGAGCCAGATCAATTCTCTTCAATATTTTTCAAATGAGAAGAAAAATCGTTACCGCAACGTGGCGCTGGATAAATTATCTTTCAGCCTTTTCCATACGAAAAAAACCTCCCCAACTCGACGCTCCGACTTCCCAGCGATTCGACGACCGCATTATTACTGAACCCATATGCCACTCGACTCTCCAACAAAAACCCTCTCCCCGGCCACTTCCCCGTCGCTCTGTGACCATTTCTCGTCGCTCTGTGACCAGTTCTCGTCCACTTCCGTGCTGTTTTACTTTCCCCACAAGTCTGAGAATGAACCCACTGATAGGTACCCAGCGGCCTACCGGCTGGTTTGATGCTATGGGAGCGTGAACGAACAACACGTGCCGTGACTCCCAACACCTGCTGTTGGACTGGACGAAAAACGCCCCCGGCACTGGAGCGGGTAGCTGAGAATACACCATGAACCGGTGTAACTTGGGTTGTAACTTGTGGTGTAACTTGGAGGGTAACTTTGGGTTGTAAGTTGCCTTTACTGGTGTGGTCTGGGAGTTAGTTTGATTGATGTTGAAGTCAGTTATGATCGATGTATGGGAATCGTAGGTTTTTGTTGCATGTGGACGAGACATTTTACGATGTAACTGAGAAATGTGTGAGCAGCCAGATGTAAGGGTTCTATGTTTTTCGAACGTGCACACTGGTATGACATTAAGGTGGCCTTGGAGAATTGGCTGCGCAACTTCATGCATTTGGTAACGTCACTAATATCCGGGTGTGTTTGATTACGAGATTGACGGAACGGAACGGAACATTAGATAAAAATGGGTTATAATCGACAATGTCTAGCTTTGTTCTTGGACTCTGTCATGATCTGACCAAGATTCAAGAAACTATCCATACTTTTGCCTACAATCATAAGCCCTAAATCATGAAAATAAAATAAAAAGTTCGACAGATTTAGACCGTAGCTGCATCTCTGATTATAACCTTACCCAACTCAAATCCGTTCTATTTTCTTCCATCCACCCTCTCCCCTCCCTACCCCACCCCATCCACCATTCCACCATCCCCTCTCCGTTCGATCATTAGTGCCATCCGGGCTCTCCACCGACTCTCCAGCGCCTGTTCGATTACCGGCTGACCCAGTGTTCCTGTTTCCGAGCCGTCTGTTCTCAGTTCGGTGTCGGCAGCGCCCGCCGGGTAGACCGACTAGGAGCGCAGCTGGCAGTCAGCTGTTTGGTTGAGCCAGTGGCGGCGTCAGGCGCGGAACAGGGGAGGACGGTGGGGACAGGGGGTTCATGATTGGTCGTGATGATCAGAGGCCAGTTTTACCAACAGAAAAATAGCCGGCTGCCGGAATTTTTTGCCTAAAAACTGCTTCACATACGTGGCGTAAACGATAAAGCCCTATCCGCTTGCGTGCCCATCGCGTTTACGCTCCGTATGTGAAGCAGTCTTTAGGCAAAGAATTCCGTCAGGCGGCTATTTTCCTGTTGGTTACACTGGCCTCAGGTCAAGTCAGGATGACCATGATCAGTTCGGCGATAGTGGTAACAAGTGAGGTCGGGTGGAGGAGGAGGGATGGGGTACATGGTTATTTAGAGCAGAGACGTGCCAGGCATAAATTAAGGACGTTGCTGAATCATGATTAATGATATAAGTGGAGCTTGCTGAGAGTCTTGGTTAAGGGGTCAGAGGAGAAGTTATTGGTTTGAGGCGACCACACGTATGACGGTTTGGTCATTATCTGAAGCAGAAACAGTCTCAGGAAATCGAGGCAGGATGCTGCACAATGAAAATGATCACGATCATTGCTGGCAGTGACGGTTATACGCCTCGGATGGGGGGGGGGGGTGGACGGAACTTGGTCATGATTAAAGCGTCATTTGGATGGGAGTCAGCACAGGCTGCCCTGGGGAGGGGGTCTGGGTCTCGATTAGAACCAGTATCAAAGACGAGGCGTCAGGTAAAGAATTGTAGAAAAAAGGACGGCTGGGTCATTGTTTGAAGGCTTTGTCCTTAATCTTTCCTTTATTTCTCTCAAGTCTTTCTTAGTCCCTGGTTCTTTGTTCCTTCCCTAGTCCTTTATTTGTCCTCGTTATTTGACTTTATCGTGATAAAATTGTTGTCTTCTTTATGTAACAGTGTAACAGTGCAGCAACCATTCTTACATCTTAGCATGCAATGTCCGGATCATCAGTACCTACATCTATTGGGTGCTGGCCAGTAGTAACCCTTAATTTACCGAGTGCTTGCCCAACACCCACGGGCCCCACCAGAGAGATTGCCCACCCCATATATGTAGGCCAGAACCCCACCCTGGCATGGCCTGCACCGTCTCGTGCCAGTTTGACCTCAGGGGCGTCACCGATGGCCTAGATTACATATATAGCGGTCACTTACCGCTATATATTTATTCTTGATTTATTCTTATTTCTGATTTATTCTCTATATTCTGATTTATTCTTACATGGTGTGTCGTTTCGGGAACTAGCGACCCGCGGCCGGGCGCCGCGGAGGGGTGCCCGTCATAGGGTTTTGGGGCTATTTTTTCACGTTTCGGTCTGAATCGTGAAAAGTACTGGTCGTAGCAAATATGTTCCCTGGTTTCTGAATTTTCAGCCCACGTGGAATACGATAGGACAAGAGTCATTTTCGTACAGTCAAAACTGTGCCCGCGTTTTTTGGTCAAAGTAAAAATGTTCAGCAGCTTTTAACACGTGGGCCGCCGCAAAATAGGGTACACCGGAGGACTTAAGATTCAATATCTCCTAAACCATCATAGATAGCAAATATGTTCCCTGGATCCATGTAGATCATACTTTAGAGGACACTTCAGGCCAAAAATTGTTTCTCGACAACTTACACCCAGCCCGCGTTTTTGGCTTAAATGCAATGCAACACGGCAGCCGACCTTTAGGGCTCAGTTAGCGAGTTTATTTTTTAGCGAGCACTTCGAGCATTTCAGCGTTCGATGAAATGACATATTTTTTCAGCGCAGTCGTTTCTTCATTTGCATCTAAACGCGACCTATATGATAATGTGATTGTATCGTCACACTAGAAGGTGTAATTCATGGTAATTTATAGGGCTAATTCTCGGCGCACAGCAGCAGACGGACACCGACTGACCCACCATCTAAAGGCAGTTTGGCGAAGCAGTATCGTGAATCACAGCCGCGAGATGTCCCTAGCGTAGAACACCGTCTGTTTGCCCAGTTTAAATACGTGATGTTTGCCCTCTGTCAACTCCTCAGTCATGGGGCTGGGGTCGCGGATGAATGGGCGACCGCCCGCCGCGCGGGGAGGGGGCTGCTCCCCTGACCCGGACCGCCACGGCGTGGGGACGGTCCCGCACTCGCGTGCCTCACGTCGCCGCCTCACACCGGTCAATTACGCTGGTTTTGAGGAACCGCCCATTGTGGTGGTGGATGAGCCAACGCAGACCATGCCAGAACCCCACTGAGGGGATGTCACCCGTGTCAGCTGGCCCAGACCCATGATATCCCCATACCGAAAGCGACGTTCCAAAGAGCAATATGCCTATAGTAGGTATTATTGATGTTTAATTCGAGAATGTATGCGTGTAAGTACGTACCTACATGGTGTGTTAAAGTACTCCAACTGTACAACTTTGCCCTCTCAGCTCGAGGAATAACCTTTTTTACTTTAAAGACAGATTTTTAGTGACTTCACATGCAGTTACAGCGGGGTCGAACGGACCCCTCCCGGTTTTTCGCAAATAATTTGCGCAAAAAGCGGCCGATCGCAACAAAACTTTCAGTACCCTCGAGTTAATCAATTTTACACATACCTATTCCTAACATTTAATGACCCTGACCCCAATGACCTTTGACCTGTGGTCTGATTCTCGAGACCATGTTCGACCGGAATCGCGAATTGGCATATGTCGGCTCACATTATCCGCGCAATTTCCAATATTTTTGTGGTATGGGTTTCAAGGTCACGTGAAGGTCAGGTCAAGGTCATTGACCTTTGATGACCTTGCTTCACTTTTTCGAGTTTTACATGTTTTTAGGGTAGTTTCTGGAGCTGATTTCGAATTCCCATTTGAAGATTTATGAAGTAGTTTTGGTGCCCTCGTAACATGCTACGAAGCTGTCAATGGTGGTCAACATCTGCTATGGATGGCTGGCAGGTTTCCTACTGGTTGACCTGACCTGGCCTGACCCGACGTGGCCTAAATACGTTAAGACATCATAGGTATGGGGTCAAAACTAACTTGAACTACGTGTTCAGCACCCCGCAAAATCCCTTTTTCAACCTCACTTTACGAACTTCCAGCAAGTCCCGATTTTCCCGATTTTTGGGTCATTGACCTGACCTGGAAGGTCAACCAATGACATAAGACCATAAAATTGGGTATCATCGGCTTACTCTCGTCGCGGGCAACACGCTCGTTTTTTTTCTGCGAAGCTCTAGCTTCATCAGAGGCCAAACGGCTAGGAGGGTCCAACGGACCCTCCCCCCTATACGTTAGACGCTGGCAAACACGAATACGGGCGAGCAGGGCATATTTTAAGGCACTTACTGCGTCCCATTCTGGGACGCAGCCCCCTCGCCTTGGAACGTAGCCCCTGCTGATTTGACCCACTGCGTCCCTGCCCTGTGCCGTCCGGTTCCCTGACCTGTGCCCTGCTGTGTGCCCTGACCTGTACCCTTCCCTCTAAAATGTCCTGTGCCATGCCCTGTGCCTTGCCCTGCCCTACTTTCTGCCCTCCTCAGTGCCCTAGTCTGTTCCTTGCCCTGTGCCCTTAGTCATAGCACGTGCCCTCTGCTCAACTTAAGGACGCAGTAAA